AACCAATGCGTTGACTGACTTGGTTTAAAATAGCAGAAGTAAAATAGACGTTATGACCGGCCATTCTTGGACGATAGCATGCCGAGCTCTTAACTCATTCCTAAATAATAGGTAACGAATTCAGAAACATACGGAGCAGAAAGGTAATGCCTCAAGGTTAGCACAACAAAACCCCAGATAGCGCTAGTTTACGACTGCACTTAGGCTTACAAGTGTAAACCCAATAGAACGGCCAAATTTCAAAGTAATGGTCGTCTCGGATTCTGTGCAAGACTAGAATAGTAAAAAGCCGCAACGTATGTGTTAACTGGTATACTGAGATTTTCGATCTAGGGTGAATCCCTATAAATGAATAAATGAAAATCTCGTTGCTAAATTAATGTAACATACTTAGAGCAATGCAGGACCAATAAATTCGCGCGTTTTAATCGACTACGGAACAAATCATTTTGTCAAATGTTCATCATAAATAGACAAAAAAGACACTACTTCCTTACTTTCTCCTTTGCGCTGGTGGGATTTTCATGTCGTTCTGCATTCTAAAATGTAGAAAAAAAGAATTATGCCACAAAATGATAAGGGACGAAAGCATGTACGTTATCCAGACGAATCTACTATAAAATCTGGAGCAACGTTCACGAAGCCTAAAACCTAAGGGTTTAAAAACGAACAAAAATAATTTGAGGAAATCGTATGATGAAAAAAACCATACCGGACGTTGACCATATCAGCAGGATTTCCAACGACGCCGCCAGCGAAACCGGAAAACATTGCGACACCGGCGCTCTCCAGGAAAGTCATTTTTCTCCCCAATTTATTTTTGTATGTTTCGTAGATTCCAAAACGCGTCATCGAATAGGTAAGCTGACGCAGAATTGAAGCACTCAGACCGTTGTACAAAGCGAAGAATCCGTCGTTTTTAAATACACGGATACCCATCGTTATCATCCCAAACTCCTTTTTCTGCTGGGTTTGCAAATGAACTTTGATTAAATCCAACGGGTGGGTTACGGCTGCAGCCATAGCACTAGCTACACCACCGAAGTACCAGTAACCCACTTTCGCTGGCTTCTTGTCAGACATTTTCGTGCCTCACAACACAACACCAGGACAACCGAAACCGCGCGCCAATACTGCAGCCGTCAAGCCCGTGCCGGATCAGCCTGCTAGTTAATTTAAAGTATACCTTGTGTTCACTTTTCACTCTGAGAGAAAATTAAAAATCAGTCTGCCTGTTACGCGCCCTAGATCCATAACTAGTAAAAGAGATAGATTAGGCGTCTAGGTCCCCATTTTTCATCTTATTTGTTATCCTCCGTGCTACTGCACCAAGTAGGTCATTGGAATGCCTACATGAAATACAAGGGAGTGGTCTTAACAAAAACTAAGGCAAATGCTATGACGTGCGCATTCGAAAACGAGGACGAAAACAACAGAAAAAATGTGGCAGATATGACACATTTAACGAAAAGACTATAGGAATCGTGGATGTAATCTAAGCCGCAGCCGAATTACCCTGTCGTTTGGTTTCGTTCCTTCATAGAATAACGTCGCTCTTTCAATACCATTCACGTGGTTGTCTTTGCTATTTCTTATCATATGCAATCCATGAAACATAAGGCGATGCTGACTCCCCAGCATATGCATAAACAAGTTACTTAAATCCAGAAATGCCCTGAAGAGTTAGGATGTAACTGCAGTTAGGGGACAGACTGACATTTAATGTGTCATTTCTCTGAATTGTCGTGTAAGTTTCCAACTTAATATTTCTTATCCGTTCTGGGACACGATGAAATAATAAAGCTTCATAGGCATCTAATTATAAGAACCCTAGAAATTAGCGGACGTACATTTTTAACCTGGGCCTGTGCAATTTCCAATGCAACGTCGTAAACAAAGTAGTGGCGTCAGGCTAGTATTCAATTTTCTGGAGATCACCCAAAAATATTGTGTGACAATATGGTAAATGCGTTCGGTTGCGGTTCGAAAACCTTTTTGACGCACTCTCCGTATTCGATGTATAGATAGTGTATAGTGAATTGTATAGATAGTGCCTTCCTGGCGCTAACGAATATTAATTCCAAACGTTTGGATATTATTCAGTCGTATCACATGTCTTATGCAGGCGGTGTATGCCCTTACTTTGACTCAACTG